GGTCTACTGCAACTAATGATGCCCGCGTTTTGAGTGTAGCATCATTCAAACCGGAGCTACGACGCCTGGAACGCCGAAGACCAGTTTTCTGCCATCTGCCACCGGTGAATGTAGAAAGAGACAGACAGAGTGAGGGTCATGAATGTCCATGAAATAATAATAGTTTGAGACTGCGATGTTCAGGGGCTTCACGATTGTGTACAAAAAGAAGGATTTGAAGTAAAAACTTATAATTCAGTGGCACCTTTCGAAGAAACATGACCCTCACTCTGTCTGTCTCTTTCTACATTCACCGGTGGCAGATGGCAGAAAACGGGTCTGCGGCGTTCCATCCAGGCGTCGCAGCTCCAGTTTGAATGATGCTACACTCAAAACACGGGCATCATTAGTTGCAGTAGACCATAGGCTTTCAAAAATTGAGTGGGTGAGATTTCTAAGCACATTGGCTTCAGAGGAGATAGCTTCGCCAGCCAGCGCGGCGCACATTTCAACGTACTTAGTTGCTACTCCAGTACAGTCATACTTACATGGATGAACCGTGTGTGTGTGCAAACGGCAAAGCGCCTCCAAGTGTGCAGCTTGCAAGTCGTGCCTTTGCAGGTGCTTGAATTTAACAGAGGAGCCGTCCCGGCCGCCGCAGTTAAAGAAGTGGTGGGCCGGAATATTCATGCGAGCCCCCTGGGAAATCCTGGTGGCCAGCACCACCGGCTGCGCCAAGAGCAGTAGGCCCTCCTCCTTGGACGCGTCCACCGCGGAGGGTATGAGATGAGGGAGGGCGCGGGCGGTCCGTCATCCTAATGAGACGCCGGAGCAGTCGCAGCAGAGCGATAGAGAGTGGAGATTGCGGGGGGCTGTTCCAGAAAAAAGGCCTAAGTGACATCCAATGTTAATTTTCGCGAAAGTGATGGTTTCTTACTAGAAAAGTCCGAAATTTGTTACTGTCTTTAGTAAAACTAGCTTCAGTAATATCTCTACTTCATTTCTTTTTGTCTTCGAAATTATTGGATTAGTCTCGGTGAAACACGCTATTTTTCGTTTTGCGAAAAACATCCGTAGGGACCTGGGATTGTCTAATTTCTGGAGCACTTTGAATAGTTCATGTCGCAAACCAAATCCCGAGCTTTCCAGACATCTCCCTCCTCCCCCACCCAATCCCCACCCTCCGCCTCTCCTCTCGGGACGCGCTCGCCTCGTCGCTCGCCTCGCCTGGGCTGGCTCGACCCGCATCGAGGGCGGCCGTGCGGTCGCGGCTAGGAGCTGCAGTGCGCCGGCCGCCCCGGCCGATGTCGTTGGGCAAGGTGGCGCCCATGCGTTATCGCCAACGGTATCGAGTGCGGCGTGCGGCCGGCGCGGCGGCGTTATCGCGGCGGGACATCGCTCAGCCCCGCGGAGGATGAGGCCTCTCCAGCTATGGATGGACTCTGCCCGGCCGCACGCGCCGCCAGCCGCAAGGACGCACCCATTTTCGGCCTCACTATCGTTATCGGATCGCTTTATTAAATCTGGCCTTATTCACTCATCCAGGATCGTTGGGCCGCCCCCCCCCCTGTTCTTATTATCCATTTTTGGCTCAACTAGTTTTGGGTTGCTTCTATATGTTTGCGCGCTAAATTATCGATTTTCCCTGAGCAAAGCATTACGTGTCTCCTTCAGTGGCAAAGAAATTAAATGAATATGTCAAAGCTTAGGTTTTGCAAGGAAGTTATCTGCGGTAAAAACTGACTTGGTCGAGAAACTGAGATACGCTAAAAAAGGTCGATGAGACCCATAAGATGATTCTGAGTAAAATAAGACCTTATATCGGTCATTTCAAGAGGCGCTAGCCTGGTTTGCAGAGTGCCATAGCACTAGTGAAAAACCTAAATTATTTCTTACCAGCTCAAATTACGCCCATCTCCCCAAGCTAGGTATCAGCGCTGCTGACTCAGGTGCGCAGATTCGTCGTAGCGTAACATAAACCGTGAAGCCTGTTACGCGAGTCGTGGTCCGCCGTACGCCTTTACCGAAAAAAAAAAATGTGCTTATAATAACCACTTTCAATGGCATACTAAGGACATTTAGAGGTGCTAATGACGCTTTGCGCTATAGGTGCTGCATATCTTTGAGGGCCACATAGTGAGGCACTAAAACATTAGCACCTTTGCTATATCGCACATTTGTTTTTTAGTGTAGTGTACTCAGTTTAACCTTATCGTTTGTTTCGCTACCATTCTACCTGTATCGCTCCGAGAGCTCGACTCGCGTAGCCCGCGTGAATCCCTCCCCCTCACCCTGCGGCCGCACAAACGGTGCGTCCCAAGCGGAAGAGGCATGAGCAAATGTTCCAGCCGATCAGCATTGAATGCCAAATTTATAAGTTGATCGTTCCCGAGGCAGGAAAACGCGACGTCTTGCGGCCCTTGCTTTCTCTCTGTGGGCTGCCGCTGCCGCTTCTGCCCAGGCGCCCGACCACTATACAAAAGTGAAAACTCGATGGCACGCCCCTTGTCGTGTGATTGGAATAGTTTGTCCGTCGTTGACTGTGCGCAAGCAGTGCCAGACTACTTATCAACACAGCGGCAACGTGCCACCACGAGATCAAGACACTCGCTAGAGAGGAAGACAGGCAGACAGCGAAACATACTGCTACATAGGGGAGGGGCTGGGTGTTCCGACGGTTCAGCCCGCGTACTAGCAGAAAGGTGCAAAAAAAGGCTGTAGCAGTAACTTGCGCGGTGCCATAAACAGACTCTGGCAAATGCTTTTCTTCAGTTGCAGCACACTGTCCCTCGACAACGTGCTGGCTCCGACTATCGCGAGATGATAAACTTTGGCGCAGCGGGGCGCGACGTCAGCGGGGAGCTCCTTCACCCCACGCACGCGCTCTCCACCCCCGACATATTATTGGACCTCTCATCCGCCAACCTACGCCCCACTCCGACCGCCCCCGCACCTGCACCCGCCCGTCTTCAAACGGAATACCAGACCAGATCGTCGTATTTCCCGTGGAGCGCGAGAAGACCAGGGCGATCCCCCCCGAGCGCCACCCTCCCCTCTCCTCTATGCGCGTTGCCGCAGCCTCTGGGATGGCCAAGGTTAGCGAGCGCCGCCCCCCTCCTCCTCCCGCCCCCTTACCTGCAGTGCTCTCCTTACCCACCTAGTGCCCCCCTCCCCCATGCGGCGTGAGCTCTAGATCGCTTGGCGCGGCGGTGCTCTTCCCGCGAGTTTGTTGGCCTGGCTCGGCGCGGTAGCGGGGCCGCCACTCTCCCACGCCCGATGCCGCCCATTATATCGGCGGCGAGCCGAGTTATCGTCGCCGCGCACTCACCCACGTCTGGCGCCGCGAGTGTGCCGGGCGGGCTGTTCCACCCCCAGCCCCAGCA